GGGTGGGGCGGAGACGGATATACTGGACATTGAGCTGGACCTTGACAGATCAGAGGAAGGCTCACTTTCCATTGTATCTTCAGAAGGCGTCATGTCTTTTACTCGTTCAAATTCTTGCTTCATTTCGTTTATTTTTTCTTGGTAATTTGATATCTCCAGTTGGTGCTCTGCTTTGATTCGCTCAATTTCTTTCTTCAGAAAGTCAACAGTTTCTTTGTCTTGTTGTACTTGTGAATCGTGTGAATCAGTTCCTGTAGAAGGCGACTGCTTTGTTGGAACACTCTCGTCTTTTTCCCCATCATGGAAACCATTCACCATTTTGACGGGCGAGATTTTTCGGACCTTTGGGGTAGCACTTTCTCCAGCACCTTTTGGATTAATAAAGGGCGATGTCTTTATGGATGGGGCCATTATATCAACTTTCTCGGTCTTAGTTTTGTCATCAGTGGTTGTCTCACGAGGAGATGTAGAAGCCGTCTTCCTTCCCTGAACAATTATTGGAGCTTTAGCCACGAACGTCTGCGTGGCGGCTTTCACTTCTTGAGCTTTTTCTTCTTGAACGGCTTTTTTAATGGGAATAAACCCACCATTTTGGTGCGCAGTGGATTTTATGTCCTCACTCACAGAACCGGTTTCAATTTTTTGAACTTGTGGAGCCCTATGCATGGTCACCGAACCGGTTTGAACCTGTTGAACCTGTGGAGCCTTGTAAAAAGACCGCGGAAGAGAAGAATGCTTGGATTCCGGTTTGAAATTTTCCAGTTTAGGCTGATCGTTGCTCTTAACTTTTTCACCATTAACTGAATTAGCATTCTCATTTACTTCCGCTTTCTTTTCTTTCTCTTCTTCGCATTTATCATCCTCAACATTTTGCGAACTAAACGCTTGATCCCTTTCAAGGAGGGCAGCTAATCCTCTGGAGAGCGATTTTGTGGCATTCACCTTCTTCTCCTCGGTTGTCCCTTCGGAAGTTGCATTTTGCGTCGCGCGCGAAACTGTGTTGATTTCCCTTCGTCTGGTCGGTAACGTCCCTGGTCGATTTCCCGTTTTTTTTAGATTAGGTGTTACCCACGCTGGCTTAGCTTCCTCTTGGAGAGTTTTAGTAAGACGCTGTTGGGAAGAAATGGTCACTCGCTTAGTAAACTTTTCTCTCAGGAAGTACCTCTAACTTCTCCGAAATTAAAGTATGAACAATCAGGCTGTGGTTTTATGGTAGTGTCACATGATCCTCTGAACTCACGACTGAACTGTACATTTGAAAACATCACAAGTGTTTCGGGAGTCCTTTTTGGCTAAACAATGCACTCCTAGTGAGTATTTAATTGAAATCATATGTGATAGCTTTGTATTCCAAGAAGCACCTTTCAGCTTTTGTAGAACGAAAATTCCCGACCAGGTTGAAGCTCCACCCCCTTTCTAGATAAACTTTCTCATTGCTGGCGCAACTCCTCCGTTTAGAATTACGTAAAAGAGAAAATGAATATAGAGCATCTAGTGGCAAAAACAGAGGACATTCAAAATTCATCCTTTGTATTTCTCAACTGCCGTTGAATGAATGGAAAATAGAAGACAATTTACAAAGTTAACATAAATAATGTCTATGAACTACAAATGTAATTTATACCTGTGTTCTTAAATTAGCAGTAGCAGCCATGTTGCTCGGTGTCTGTAAATTTTCACTCCAATAAAATAACTGTGAACCGTCCTCGTAAAGTCGAGATATGCCAATGCTTTTAATGATTCCTTCTTTGAGGACGCTCTGGAGAAACTCTGTGGCCTTTTCTCGAGATGGAAACCTTTCTGGTGATTTTTCTGTCAACTTGTCTACTAAAAGTGATCCTTCAAACACCTTCTCGTAGGTTTTTCCTCCCCACGTCTTGGAGAAAACCTTAAGTAGAGAATATTTAATCGTAAATTTTTGTAATAAGTCACTTGATGGATAAAAGGCCATGTAAGCATTAAATTTCACGAATCTAATAATAAACGTATTATAAACAAAATAAACTAGTTTTGAAAAAGCTTAAGAGAACAGACCTTTGGTTAACTTGAAAGCCCTTTTTGAGATTATTTTTATTGTAAATAGTCTCCCTCAAAGCTGCGCATAGGCAAGACTTGTGCGTTAGTCGTAACGATAGGTTACTATTTCTAACGTAATAAACGTAATAATCCTACACTTTATGCTCATATCATTTTATCGCAGCGTTAGAATGCTTCATCTCCTGAAAAACGGCTACGTGATAACGGTCACTCCACTCTCCTGATTTCATTATTGTCATGTTTACCGAAATACGAAACATTTGATTTATAATGGTTACTTTGAGCCATGCAACATCAGTTACACAACAAGCACGAATAAGCATTCAGTTATGAGATCGACAGCAACAACGATAACTGAAACGATAACGGAAACTAGTTGTACTGTGACTTGTGTACTTTGTACTGAGACTTGCGTACTTTTTACAAGTCGGGGACATTTCGTGTAAATTAGATGGACAACGTAGGGTCCGCGTGAAAACATAGCGCAGTCGCTTGATTAACAGTGGTTATCCATCTGATAATCGGCCATGACCACATTTTTTGGTGAATTTTTTAAGATTTTGATGCACAAGTGCCATATAGTCGCGACAGCTTAGAGAGGGGTGACAGAAATTCATTGAGGACAGCGACATGTGAGCCACCAAATTATGTTAAGGACAGGATAAGTTTTAATCAGCTTGTTAGGTAAGTACAAAGCTGCAAAACGAGATAAACTCAGTAAGGAGATGACCAAAATAACAAGGAATACAAAAATGTTGTTCTGCTCCCTTACTTGCGGTAATTTTCTGTCTCAGACGGGTTTAAGAACTCCGTTTGTTTGGTGCAAAATTTGTTTACCACTCAGAACGGTCGGTGATAACTGTGAAACCATACTTGGTTCTGAGAAGTATTTTTTTTTTAGTGTTATTATTTGCACCAACTTAAAGTTTTCTTTGTTTATCTCATAATATTCCTTCTCATTGAAAATCATCAAAAATGTTAAGGAAGAACCACTTAAAAGAAGTAGAATTCTTTTAAGAATTTAAAAGTTTGATTTAAGCACTTGTCCAAAAAGTGGATGTTTTTGAAATGGTTTACATATCACCAACATAAAATTCTGAAGAGCTGGGACTCGTACCCTAACAAATCGGAACCCATGTCATAAACAAAAACTCTATCATTTGTAAGCAATCCTCTTAAAACCCTGTCTGTGAATTCAAAGAAAGTTAACTAAAAATATCAAATATAACAAAAGAACACTGTGTTTGGTCTGTTTGAAGCAGCGATGACCAAAGCGAAGCGGATTTCCACTGTCTGGTAGGACTTATATTTTATTGAGATACGATATACAATGATGTGCTGAACTTGCTGATGTAGAGGCCTAGAGTTTTGTTAAATGTATGAACACATAAGACATCAAGCAGTGAGACTGGAAATTCTTTAAGAGGACATACAAATTTCAAGATTTCATAGGAAATTGGCAGCTGCGTTTTCTTCGAATTCATTGAAATAAAATTTAACAAACGATATGCGTGGACAAATAAAGAAATTCTTTATTAATAACAGAACCCATTATCCCCAATAGCTTTCTAGTTTTGGTTATACCGAGTTTTAGACAAGCTTATGGAAGCTTTCCTGACCTAATTATCATCGTCACAGACTTTAACGACATTTTTCAAATTTATTGATATTTGTAAGCTGAGAGGTATATCTAACTACAGGAACTGACATGATTGCTAATTTCTGGTTTTCTCTCCAAAGTCTTTCGAAGCTAATTTTGCGAACTCACTATGAAATAAATCTTGGTCGGCTCATGATTCCAAAACATTTGCTTTTTGTTTGAAGACAAGATTTCCAAGTAAATAATTTCTTCTTTCTTGTCTGGTAGGCGGTATCGCAGTGGTAACAAGATCTCTCATTTTCATCCGCACTGCTTTAAGTGAAAAGGGTTAAGGTCGTTAATAAGCACTCTTGTTGATACCTTTTCTTACAAAAACACTGATGACATAAAATCTAGAGCGAATCTATTTGAAAGAATAACGTGGTTATTGCACAAAAATCTCAATCTCCATGACTGGAGTTGAAAGAAGCTTAAAATCGCCGAGACATCGGCTTGTTGTAGTTATGCGACAAACTACGCGAAACAAAGGAGCAGAATTTAACGTTTTGGTGTGAGAAAAAAAATAGGATTAGAAGCTGATCTTTTTTAACTTTAAATGATTTTTGGCTTCATGCGACCTCTGGTCACCATGTTTCAAGACAAAACTTATAATTGCCTCGCGTCGAACTTATTTTTGCACGGGAGACCCTTTGAAAACTAGCTGACACCGTTTCATTTGGTTTCGTTTGAAGGTAAGTTGCATGTTTATATTCAGCCAGCAAAGCGGTTTCAAAACTGGAAACTAAAG